ATGGCCATGCTGCAGTCCCTTCTCCTCCATCCTCCTCTTGAGATTTTGGGCACACATGCACACGCACACCCAAGGGGAATGGCCATACCGTGATCCCTTCTCTTCCATTCTCCTCTTGGGATTTGGAGCATGCATGCTCATATACTTGATGTGATTTTCAAGCCATCAGGTCCAGGACTTGAACCGCAGTCTGCCATCTGGGAATCCAGTGCCTTAACCACCACACTACCTACTGGCCCTGCCATTCTGTTTTAATGCTTAAGTTTTCTAACTTAGCAGATAATGGACTCATCATGTACTAATGTGAGGTACATTACATTGGAATCCTAATTTGAGAATCTCAGAACACCTTAGGAAAGAATAAGCATAATTTTCTCATATGCAGAAATGCAAGATTTGAAGACACTAAAATGTAGAAAACAGCAGAGATAGAATAAATGTTAGTGATAGAGCAAAAAAATGTAACCCAAAGAAAATGCTGAAATCTTTCTTTTTCCTCATTTAGCATTTCTTCTGTTCCTTTGCATAATGATATTTTTCCCTTTGCCCTTTTTCTCTCACCTCAGACTACTTTACCACCATGATATTTTCTGAAAGAATTATTTATTTAATTTTATATTATTATTTTAAAATTTGCTACAGGGCACACATACTCACCAGAGAGAAAGACAGAGAGAGAGAGAAAGAGGAAAAGTGAGAAAGCAAGCCACCAGGTCTAGGACGTGAACTGCAGTCAGCCATGTGGGAGTCTAGCACCTTAACCATCACACCATCTGCTGGCCCCACCATCTTAATATTAATCTGCTTACCACTAATGCAATACTAGCATGCTTCCTGGTAGATTAGTTTAAACTCCAATTGCAGCCATAAAGCAAAATTTCTTGGTGAAAAAATCCTTTTAGGCCCTCCTGATCTCTTAACACACTTTAAATATTTACATCCCTGTCCTATGTAATACATATTTTCCCCTCGGCCTGTCATGCGTTGCTCTGTACCCGTCAGTCACTTGAGACTCTCCTTTGCAGTACTCTGTCAATATTTATAGAACATGTAGGTGGCATAAATTTTCATTCTTTTGGCACAGTCTCTTGATTTGGAGATTTGCAGCCCCGAACCTATCAGCCCTGCTTTTCATCGTCACTTTGTGATTTTCTCACAAGGGAAGTTACAAGGGCTCCTCATCTTACTGTCTTGAGGGTTCTGATAGGCTTATTTGCAGCCATGGTTCAGATCTCAGCTGCAGCAGCTTGAAAAACACGCTGGGTACATGTGTGTGCATGCTTGAAATCCTGACAGGATGGAGAAACAGAGGAAGGATTGCAGCATAATCCATCATGGGGTGCTCCCTCATGTACACAAGCGCACACGCCTTCTTGCAATAAAAGAGGAAAAAAGAACTCTCACTAGCTTCTTTGTGTCTGCCATGTTACAGCTGAATTTTATGAGCTATTTGCCTACACCTTTCCAAGTCATAAGAAGAAAAACCTTTTATGTAGCATTTCTCACCAACAGTTACTCATTGAGTATCTACAGTGTGCATTGTACTGGGCTCAGAGCTTCCAGGTGGATTGGACAGGAAAGGTCCCTGTGTCCATGTTAATTACATTCTAGAACAATAGTTCTCAACCAAGAGCAATTTGCCCCTCCGGGACAATGAGCAAAGTCCAGAGACGTGTTTGGTTATCAAGCTGGGGGGAGGGGTGTATGCTAAGGCATCTGGTGGGTAGAGGGCAGGGGTGTGGCTGGATGTCCAGCAGTTCACAAGGCAGCCCTTCACCACAAAGAATTACCCAGCCCAGAGCATCAATAGCGCCGAGGTTGGAGCCCTGTCATCGAGAAACGTGACACACACTAGACGAATAACCTAATACCTGGACAAGATGATTTCATGTAACGGGAAGAGCTAAGGGACGGGTGGGTGCTTTTTCTCTAATCCGTGCTCCCATTGAGGCACCTTTTTCTAACTTGCCCAAGGTTTCTGAATGGGCTAGCAGCTGTGCTGGCTTAGGGTAAAATACCGTACTGATGCTCTGTATAGAATAACGTGCTCAGTCAGGGAAGGCAGCGTCCTTAAATTGGATGCAAAAGAAGACTTGTCTGAGAAGATGACGTTTGAATGAATCTGACAGGACAAAGGCTGGCTATATAAAGACCCACCACCGGGATTCCAGGCAGAGAAAATAGCAAGTCTAAAGGGTCTAAGGTAGCGAGCGATGAGCTTGGTTAAGGAGCAAAGGAGAACGCCAGGATGACTGAAACCCAGCGAATGGAGAGGACAGGTCATGCCAAAGCATTTGGATTTTATTCCAAAGCCTTTGGAGAGGTTTAAGCAGGTAAGCAATGGGAGGATCTGCCGGGTTTTTTTGTTTGTTTGTTTGTTTTTTAATAGACTCTTCTGGCTATTCAAGGATCACAGATTTAAAGTTGTTTCTCTTCCATGCCTTGGTTTGCACCCAGAAGAATTCAGAGCAAAACTATGATATGAAATTAACGGTTTTTTTTTTTTTTTTTGGAGAGAGGTATTTTTGCCATAGGGCATGTGCACTGGTCAGAGAGACAGTGAGAAATCACCCCCCTGGTGGGATGGCCACGCTGCAATCCCTCCTCCTCCATCCTCCTCTCAGGATTTTGGGCACGCACACACATGCACCAGGTGTGATTTTCAAGCCACCAGGTCTAGGACTTAAACTGCAGTCAACCATGTGGGAATCCAGTGCCTTAACTACGATGCCACGGGTTAGCCCCATGAAACTATTTTTTGAAACATATACTATAAAGTACCAGCAGGTGTGTAATGGTGACATCACTGGACTCCCATGTAGTTGACTCTGGTTTGAGTCCCGGATCTGGTGGCTTAAAACTCATGCCAGGTATGTGTGCGTGATAATAATTTTGTCTGCCATTTGGATTTAAAATGTTTTTAAGTATTCCTGCTTTCTTTTCTCTTATGTGAAATGCTCTTAGGAAAAAGATTAAGGCTTCCAGGAAAGTATCAAAACAAATTAAGGTAGAAATAGAGGAAGAGGTTTATTGTCCTCACTAAGGTTCCTGCAGTTGGAGTTTTCTGAATCTAAGCCCCTAACCCCAAGGCTCGGGATTTAGAAAGGTCTTGCAACCAGAGAGTCCAGCAAGCACAGGAGGGGTAACTAGTCCATACATATATCATCACCCAGTGCTCGTTTGAGAACCACGTGTCCGTGAAGTTCCCAGCCCTCCCTGTGCATCTGAATCTCCTGGGACCTCTCTCTATTTCTCTCTCTTTATTTGTTCATTCATTTCTGAGAGATTTCAGCACACACACACACACATACACATACATGCCCAGCATGAGTTTTAAGTCACTGTCTCTTAGGACTTGAACTGCAGTCGACTACATGGGAGTCCACCGGTGTAACCATTTTGCCTTCTGTTAGTCTCCTACAGACCTTTATTTATTTATAGGGCGCATGGGCTCACCAGAAAGACAGAGAAAGACAGAGAGATAGAAAGTGAGAAATCACCCCCCAGAGGGGATGGCCACGCCACAATCCCTTCTTCTCCATTCTCCTTTAGGACTTGAACTGCAGTCGACTACATAGGAGTCCACCGGTGTAACCATTTTGCCTTCTGTTAGTCTCCTACAGACCTTTATTTATTTATAGGGCGCATGGGCTCACCAGAAAGACAGAGAAAGACAGAGAGATAGAAAGTGAGAAATCACCCCCCAGAGGGGATGGCCACGCCACAATCCCTTCTTCTCCATTCTCCTCTTGGGATCTTGGGCATGCACGCACACGTGCCCGGTGTGAGTTTAAGCCGCCGGGTCCGGGACTTGAACCGCGGTAGACTACATGGGAGTCCAGTGACATAGCCATTATGCTAACTGCTGGTCCTGAGACCTTTATTTTTAAAATACAATTGTGGGGCCAGGAGGTTACATGGTGGTTAAAGGTGCTGGATTCCCATGGCTGACTGAGGTTCAAGCCCCGGACCTGGTGACTTAACTTTCTTGCTTTCCCTTTCTCTCTCTGTCTCTGTCTGATCAAATTAAAAAATAATAATAATAAGTGGAATTAAATGAATAAATAATTTAAAACAGACAAACAAACAAACAATTGTTGTGACCAGACCCCAAAACAAGTGAATCAAAACCTGGCCTGGGGCATTTGATAGAAAGTGGTTGAATATGGAAGATTTATTGTTAGTGAAGCACGCCAGGCCAGGCTGTGAAAGAGAGACGTTATGTGTCTCCACTTAATATATACCGAGTGTCCGCACTCTATGGTAGAGACTGAAAGATTGGAAGACATAAAAGTATTGAAAATAGTTATGGACACTGCAGACAGTGTGGAAGCAGGTGCGAGAGGGGAAGAGTGTTAGGGAAATGAATCAGGAAGAAAAAAATTAAGAGACAAGACAATTGTGGGACACAGAAATGACTTATTACCTGTTGATGATAACATGTACAGTATTCTCAACTGGACTGGTCTGAGGTGTATTTCAGGTTGGGTAAATTCCCTTTGTAAGTCAAATGATATATAGTAATCAAATGTATAAAATAATAATAATAAAATAAATATTAAAAAAAAAAAGAATCTGACCTAGGGGACAAGCCTGGATGTAAACATTGCATAAGTTCCTTAGGTCATTTTAGTTGTTTTGTTTTTGTTTTTCTAGTTTGCTATAGGGTACGAGAACTCCCCGGAGAGAGGCAGAGGGGAAGAGGGAAAGTGAGAAATCACTCCCCAGAGGGGATGACCACCCCTCAATCCTTTTTACTCCATCCACCTCTTGGGATTTGGGGCACACACACACATGTCCCCAGCTTGAAATGTTGTCAGGTCAAGGACTCAAACTGCACAGTTGGCCATGTGGGACCCAGCCAACTTAACCTCTATGCCACCAGCTGGTCTCCTCAGGTCGTCGAAATATGCAGTCAGGGTTGAGAATCCTTACCTTGTAGAAATCTCAATGAATTCCAATTGGTTTGGCCTAAGTATTTTGGCTATGTTGCTTTTCAGGACAGCATTGGACAACTGGAGAATGACCTGAGGAACACCAAGAGTGAGATGGCACGCCACCTCCGGGAATACCAGGACTTGCTCAATGTCAAAATGGCTCTTGACATTGAGATAGCAGCTTACAGGTACTTCATAGGGCACACTCACCTGAGCAGATCCAGTCCCCTGGGGCAATTCTACCCAAATAGGTGGTTCTAGTGTCTCTGGATTCTGATCAGTGAGGGAGATGAGGATCCCAGGTTGACATGAACATGCTGGCTGGCACGCATGTGTGCCTAGGATTCTGGCTGGCTGGAAAAGCTGGTGTGTGGGTGGGTGTGGATCACAGCACGATGAGATCGTTGGCCCTCAACTCTTCATGAAAAAGACAAGAACCCCGTGTATGTCAGGAGCACCTGCACCTGTGATCTCTGATCCTGGCTGCCCAGGTTGACAGCAGGACCTGGGCATGAAGACCCTGTTGGGGTGCCTGTCTCCTCTCTCTCTCTCTCTCTCTCTCTGTCATGGAAAGAAGACATGAATAATAAACTTTTTAAAAATGTATGGTTTATGGGCCAGCTGCCATGGTGCATGTCTCTAGTCTCAGTTACTCAGGAGGCTGTGGCAGGAGGATCTAGACACAGCAAGACCCTTTCTAAAAGTTTTTTTAAGTGGTTTTCCAGGGACCAGCAGTTAGTGTAATGGCTATGTCGCTGGACTCCCATGTAGTCGACCATGGTTCGAGTCTTGTGCCCAGTAGCTTAAACTCACACCGGGCATGTGTGCGTGTGTGCCCAAGATCCCAAGAGGAGAATGGAGGAGAAGGGATTGCAGAATGGTCATCCCCCTGGGGGGTGATTTCTCGCTTTCTGTCTCTCTGTCTCTTTCTGTCTTCCTGGTGAGTGCACACGCCCTATAGCAAAAATCTCTTTAAAAAAAAAAAAGTGGTTTTCTAATTCCTGATAAATGAGTTAGCTCACCGATTGCTATTCAAGGCCATGTTCAAGTGAAATTCACCTTGGGGGGAAAAAAGTAATAGCAGCAGCTGCTAATTTTGAATGACTCTATGTGCCAGGCACTATGTTGGCTACTTCATAAAATTTTTCTAGTTATCATGTGATATCATTCCGATTTTGCAGATGAGAAAACCGAACCAGACTGTGTGTCTTGCCCAAAGTCATGGTGCTGACAAGTGGTAGCGCTCAGAGTCAACCCCAGATCTGACTGCACATTTTGGATGTTTCCCCTTCCTTTTTTCTTTCCTTCCTTCCTCTCCTTTCTTTCTTTCTTTCTTTCTTTTTCTT